ACACTGAGGAGACTGCCGAATGACGTCACACACCAGCCTCTTGAGTGGGACTTTAATAGGAAACGATAAGTTGGGCGTCCAAGGGTAGCATGCAAGAGGTCATGTGAGAAGGAGATCTGAGACTATGGACAATAGTGGGACCAGCTAAAGAAGACCACAGATCACTCAGAACCCAAGAGGACGTAATAATTATTATTTTACTAACCTTACTTACTTATCAGTAAATGGAATCATTCCAAATGCAACCAGTGTGTACGTGAATGGTAGTTGAATCTAAAATGAAATCTTGAATTAATACCAATTAGATAAAATATCGTCGACACGTTATGACCATAAAAATGTCAATTAACTTTAATTACACTGATAATCAACGTATCACTAATGTTACTTCTTATTTTTATAGATTTACAAATGTTGAATAAACCCTGTGCTGAGAACAAAACTTAATTTAGGAATCCGTAACAAAACCACATTCTAACCGGAATTCATTTAAATACTGACCTAGCGTAGCAACCTTTAAAAGGTGTTAACTTCTACATAGGATATTTTATAAGCTTGATTTTGTCTTTTTAGAGTTCATTCTGTTGACTTTATACGTATCATAGAGATGTAGGCAATAACCTTCAAAGGACTGATATGATAACAATAGTTTGGTGTGAGGACAGAGACTTGTGACGATATTAGCTGGTAGTCACACTACATATCGTGAACTGGCACTGGATTCCATCCCAGTCTCTCCCTCAGTTCGCATCATCAAGGGTGTGGGTTTCATCTCTGGGGAGATCATGGCTGAGTAGTTTTATTTACATGGTGTCCATTATCAATTACTTGAAATAAGTCGAAACTTTTCACTGAAGCTTATCCCCGTATCCGATAGCGAACTACTCATCTGTATTACTGGTCTAGTGATTGGTGGTCTGTAATTATTTGAGAACAGAAGAAGCTAAAATATCAGCACACCGAAGTACTAACTAATCCTCTAAACTTTTATGTTAACCAGCCATAGAAAATAAAGGACTTGTACAAATTAAAATGAATCCAGTCCTCTTATGTGTGATGTTTCAACCACTCTTATCTATTTAGAAAATGAGGAAATTCGAAGTTGATCTGCTCACAAGGCTACTCAACCAGTGTGTAGGTACCAGGTGGTCTAGTGAGCTTTTGACTTAACACAAAAGCAAGTTCTTAGATATGACCATGCGGAATATTTTGCCTTAACATCGATTTAAACACAACACCAGTTGCTTAGTATAAAAAGCCCTTCGTGAAATCTTGTTAAAGGAATTAGACCTAGTTGTGAGATCTGTCTGCCCGTTTATTTTGTAAAACTCGATAAAACTTAACCAAATACTGTCAGTTAACCAACGACAACAACAGAATAAGCATCCAGCGCCAATCACCATCAACGGGAGGGATTTGAAAGAGGTTACTTCATTCACTTATCTAGGCAGCATTGTCTCAACTACAGGAACTCGAAACGGACGAGGATGTCAAATCGAGCGAGAATTGGGAAGGCGAGCGAGAAACACATTCATCAACCTGAAACAACCACTCTGGAAATCTCCGTCACTCAGCCAGCATCAACAACAAAATTCAGTAGGACTTTCAATACAAACAACGTCAAGTCAGTCAGTTCTTCTATACGGATCAGAAACTTGGTGGACGGGTCACAAAGAATATTTCCAACAGCCTGTTGCAGACGTTTATTAACAACTGTCTCCGCTCTATACTGAAGATCAGATGGGCGGGCCGGAAAGAATCGCCAACAAGAAACTATGGAAACACACAAACAAATCAAGAACCAATCGCCAAACAAATATGCAGGAGAAAGTGGAGATGGGTCGGTCACTCGCTGAGGCAACCGCTGGATGACATCGCGCGCGCATCAGGCCATTGCTCGAGTGGAACTAGGTCGAAAGGAAGCGGCGAGTGGGACGTCAGTGCAAGGGTGACATGGAGGAGATCGTATGAAGAGGAGTTGAAACAGTATGGAGCAACATGGATGGAGGTGAAACGTACAGCAGAAGACAGAAGCAAGTGGAGACGTGCAGTTGAAGTCCTATATTTCACTAGGAAGCCAAGGGTACAATAATAATAAATACTCTCAGTTAAGTTAACTTTTGACAGTAAGTGTTTAGACTGCTAAAGCATCATACTGACACGACACAATAATGAACATCAGCGCTATGACCCACATTTATAAAGCAACAAAGAAACACTGATTTGTCTTGATTTGAGCAGTTAATTACTAACTGTCTAGCTCAAATTATACTGCTTCAATCAATTTTCAAATTCTTTTTGCATTACATTCATCGTTTGCTATTTCTCTCGACCTTTATTTATTAGTGTGTTTGTTATTCAATCCATCTTTCTATTGTTTTGCCTATTAGCCTTAAGCATTATTCCACTTTCTGGTCGACAATCTGTTTGAATTCAAGTCTTATTTGTTTGTTTTTTTTTTGTTTATCCTTTTGTGTTCTGTCATTATTTAATACACTGATCATATCACCTCTGTAAAATCTTAGTTTTTCTTTTGCAATAACTGATTATTACGTAGGATTCTTATTGTTATTATTATTATTCGGTTTCCTCCCTTAATCGTCCTTGCAATATGCATTTATCAACTTTTAATAAATATCTTGTAATTGTTCCCTGTACTGATCGATTAGGTCATGAACTTCATTATTCTTATTGCAATATTTATAATTTCTATGAATTTCTCCCAATATTTTCCCACTATATATATATGTATATTGATAGCGTTATTAGAAGACGAGATTATCCAAAAAATGTGATGTAATTGAGCTATACATTTCGAACAATCTGATCACACATTTACTTGTCAAGTCGATATATATGAAAAGTTAAATTAACAAAGTGACAAAAAGAAAAGGATTTAAGAATAATTAACACAACGTTTGGTAATCCAATCAAATAAGGATTACCAAGGTAGGTTAACAGTAATAATAAACTGTTTTTGAATACACAGATGGGGCTTACGTTTATGAATAGCGATAGTCTCAGCGTATTTCAATAAGCGCCCTTGATCGTTTGTATAAATGACCTCAAAGGCTGAGTTAACATCAACCTTATGTTTCATGTCGATTAGATGTTTAGCTATAGACGAAGTTGGTAGTCTGACACCTGCATCTTTTGGCTTTTCACAATGTTGACTTGACAGTGACTTGAATATTGACTTGACAAGTAAATGTGTGATCAGATTGTTTGAAATGTATAGCCAAATAAATCGCATTTTTCAGATAATCTCCGTCTTCTAATAACGCTATCAAAATTTATAAAAGGGACTAATTGTTTTATATATATATATATATATATATTTGTATTATAACCTCACTGAATTACATTATTTGCTAATTCCAGACTTTTGAAATTGGTGCATATGTGGAAAACCACGAAATAAACTGAACTAAGTTTGTATTTATTACATCCTTACTTATTATCATATTTTCGATACTTTTTTTAAAGCAGTGGTTTGCTGTTATCGAATTTTGAAAACTGCTTGAGCTATCCCCATTCTCAGAAAGATTTCATCCCTCACAATAATGTTGTCATTCAGGTGATCATTATTTTCTGAAAAAATTAAATTATATCAGATTTCAGGACGGATTTCGTCACAGACTGATATTACCTCAAGCGGTAGTGAAAACTACCCTATTTTGTGACTGTTTTTAAATGTGCACCTACAACCTCATCAGGGATCAGATGCAGGAGCTTGAGCTTAAGAGCTTTACCCCCTGACCAATTAGACATTAGGTTTGGATCTGGTGACTCTTGAAATAAAACTACCGTCCCCTTGCGATACACTACCACCCGCAAACAGTGTTGTTGATGAGGAACCGCTTTATACCAGATATAATGGAACCCAACGGCTTTAAACTTCAGAAGCGTCCCAAACTATGACCAAAACAGCTATTTAGTTCTTCATGGTTTCCATTGATGACTCTCTGTGTATATCGTTATTTAGCGAAATCTACACCAAAATATATTAAAATCCCTACAGTTCTACAATATGATCAGATTTAATTAACGGGTAGTTTTTATATCAGACCTATAAACACACTATCCATTCGCAAAATCCTATTGGAGAGCCACAAGTATCAACTAATCTTAAACTTCCCTGAAAGCTAAGCAGCCATTTTTAAACTTCAGTGGAAAGACATTGGTTATTAATTCTCTGCATGGTGCGTCGGTGGCACAGCGGTTAGGACGCTCACTGACCATGCACATGGTCCGGAGTTCGATCCCCGGCCACGGACGCACTCCTTTACCTCGCTAAGCCAGAAATAATGCTGGTAAAGAGTAAAGCTTGGGCATGAGGTCAGCAAACATTGCTACAGAAACGTCAAGCCACTAACTTGAGGCCCTATGTTCCACTGGTAACGTGAAGGAAAAAAATGTCATCAACTAACGATTTCAACTCACCAAGTTTATGCAATATCAACATACCTTCCACTACTGACCTTGATCTCTTCACTGATTAAGCAGATCATAATGATTATAACTGAGAACTGACCAACAAATTTTCAAAATCTGTATAAAACACCTGTGTTCTGTATTTGTCAAGAAAGCCGATGAAAAAGAAGTTTGAACACGTGAAGAAAGAAGCGGGGCTTAGAAAGCTGGTTGAGTGCACAATAGTAGCTGTTTAACGATATAACTGGCATGAGCCCTATTCAATAACACCATAAATCTGTGATATAAACTTCCTTAGTGTCTTAAATAACATCAATCTTTAGCTTCACTCTAGAATAAATGAAGTTCATTATTCTTAGAAAAACATGAGTCGACAATGTCTATTGTGAAACACTTTGCGGGTCTGAGCGTTAAAAAGAGAACTACTCATTCATATAATGTTCCAATCTAGCCGACATAATTTACATTAGATTAGTTTAGATTTGCTGATCACCATAAGTGTTTAAAAAGGGCTGCTTCTAATAATTTAAGTGTTGTCTTCTTTTCTTTTTATCTTTCCAATCCAGTGTTTTGTTCATTCATACTAAACAACTATAAAGTAGTATGGACAGTTGAAAGTAAATGTCACTATCCAGATTTCATACAACATTCACCTGATTCAATATGGATGACAAATTATGGTCTGATCAATGCATCATATCAAGACTTTCAATCCATTTTTCATAACAATAATAATAAGAATAACAATAAAAATGAAAACATGCTTCTATCTCACTTACTGAAATTACCTAAAGAACTTTACAATGACAAGCTGAATTTACAAAATTTACAATACGGTTGGTTACAAATGGCATTTAAAAAAGACTCACATAATGCTTGGCTTTTCTTTTCATGTTATCACATTCTATACGCTAAAGATTTAATTTATTTCACTACTTTGCGTGATTTATTTTTGGAGGTTTGTAGTACACAAGGATATAAAACATACAAAAGTGCTACTCATAGAAGTAGTAGTAGTGGTAATGCTCATGAGGAAAGTAGCAACAAATATGCAAGAGATAGTTATACCAACTGGTTGGATACGACTACTTATATCAGCAGTGTTAGTAGTAGCAGTACTACTAGTAACAGTCCAGGCACTGTTGGCCAGAATAGTTTGAATTCAATGAATAATTATGCAAATGACAACTCTTCAAATAACGAATATCCATCAGCTGTAGGTTATCTTACAATGTCATGTTCATGGCAATTTGATAAAAATCTTTACCTGATACAGTATACAAATTTTATACAAAGGTAAGTAAGAAATCCGAAGAGATTACTGTATTTTTTGTAGAAAGTTAATTTTGTGTATCTCATTAAATGATTATATTAGACGAAAATTTTCGATCTCTAATGACATGGCGGCCTGTAGTATGGTGGATGGTTCAACAAGCAGCTTCAAGGAAAGGCCATTCGTATACTGATCAAAGTGTGACTCTACTCATTATCATAGAATGCAGAATAGAATTATGGTCAAACCTACAGTTTAGCTTCATCGACTTCAAAATGGCCTTCGACAGACAGTGTTGACCATGAAGTAATTTGAAAACTAATGCCCCAAATCTTTATCGACCTTATTCAACACCCATATGACAATGTCGACTGACAGGTAGAATTTAATTGGATATAGAGGTATAACAATATTGGCTACTATCAGCGATGATATTCCTAATTATGAGGGACTAGATTATGAGACAGACCATGAGGAGCGGGTAGACAGGAAGGAATAAGTTGGACCGATAAGGAGACTTCGTGAACAACTTATCTCTAATGTCACATAAGCAGCGAACACAAGATTTCAGATGAACATAGATAATACTGAGGTGATGAAAGTAACCAACCAACCAGAAAAAGCACCAATCACTATCAAAGGAATAAACCTCCTTCACTTGTCTAGGAGGCCTAGTTTCAGTAAGAAGCGGAAAGGATGAATGTGTCAAAAGCAGCCAGAATTAGAAAGGCAAGGTACAGCTTAATCACTCTGAGATCAGTTTGGAAATCTTCTGCACTCCGCACTCAGCATAAAGAACAAGATTCGAATTTTCAACACAAATGAAAACTTAATTATTTTTCACTGGTCGGAAACTTACACTGCGCATCACGGAAAGCATTTCCAACAGCCTATTGCAAACTCTTATAAAATGACCAGAAAGAATTAGCAACAAGACACTATTTGAAGAAACCAGTCAATAACCTAGTGCTCAATAAATATGCAATAGGAGATGGAGATGTATCTGGCACATACTGAGGAGACCTTAGGGTAACATCACATAACAGACCCTCGAGTGGAACTCGAATGGGAAACGATGAGTTGAACGTTTGAGCATGCCTCGGTGGCACAGTGGTTAGGACTATAGCCGACCATGCAAATGGTCCGAGGTTCGGTCCCCTACCGACGCACACCTGATATCTATGGTCGGCCTGCTAAATTTGGGCTACCGGTATCATCATTATTATATCCTTTAATTCCTAGAGGAACATAGGGCTTCGGCTGCGCATCTCCATTGCCTTCGGTTTTTTGCCAATTGTTTCACTCCGCTTCAACTCTTCCTACTTGCTCTCATCTCCTCTTCACATGACCTCCTCCAAGTCACCCCATCTCGCATTGACGACCAACTCGCCGCTCCCCTTTAGGGTTCCACTCGAGCGATGGCCTGTCTAGTGATGTCACTTGGTGGTTTCCTCAGAGCATGGCCAATCCATCTCCATTTCTTCCTGCCTATTTGTTTCACAATCGGTTCCTGCTGGGTTGGTTCGCTCATTGCCAGAGATCCCTGTTCCTGATCTTTTCTCGCCAGCCGTCTGATCTTAAGTATCGAGTGAAGACAACTGGTAATGAAGGTCTGAAGTTTGTTTGAGATGCTCTTTATGACGCGACAAGTCTCTGATCCGTATAGTGAGTAGCACTGACTTTACGTTGGAGTTGAAAATCCGGATCTTAATTTTTAAGCTGAGTGCTGTTCATCTCCACACAGACTGGAGAGTAATGGAAGCTTGTCCTGCTTTTCTGATTCTAGCTTTGATATCCTCGTCAGTTCCGCCTGTAGTTAAAATGATGCTTCCTAGGTCGGTAGATAGGTGAAGGAGGTTGTTTCTTTCGGGTTCCTTCCACTTATGCTGATTGTTGTCTGTTGTTGTTGCTGTTGGTGTTTCTGTTGGCCAGGAATCTTCATCACAACTGTTTTATATATGTTCACCTGAAGTCCTATCTTTGATGCTTCTTCTATCTCCAACTTGTTGCTTTTCAATTGCATATCTTCCAGTTTGTGGGATATCAGACATATATCATCGGCGAAGTCCAGATCCTCCAAGCTTTTTGTGTGAGTCCATTTCACGTCTGTCTCCTCATTGTCCGTTGTTTGTCGCATTATCCAATCTACTGCAATCGGGAAGATCATTGGCGATAGTAGGCAGCCTTGTCTCACTCTCGTCCTCACTTCGAAGGCTTCCGTAAGTTTCCCGTTGTGGATTACTTGGCATGCAGCATTGTCGTACAACTGTTGGATGAGATGTATAATTGTCGATGGCAGCCCGTGGTAGCGAAGTGGTTGACAAATCAACTCTTGATCGACACTGTCGAAGGGCCTTTCAAAGTCGATGAAGTTGAGATAGAGAGGTGACTACCCTTCCAAGCTTTGTTCAATGGTGATCCGTAGAGTGGCGATTTGATCAATACATGATTTGTTTCTCCTGAATCCGGCCTGTTCCGGCCAAAGTTTTTCATCCAGGGCTTGTTTGATTCTCTCCAGGATGATGCGACTTAGTATTTTGCTTGGGATGGACAGTAGCATAATTCCGCGCCAGTTTTTGCATTGACTTAAGTCTCCTTTCTTTGGTAGTTTGAAAAGGTATCCTTTCTTCTAATCCCCAGGTTCTTTGCTCTCTTTCCACACCTTCTCTGATATCACATGCTGAAAATTTCATACCTGTACCAAAAAATACGAAGTGGAATCAAGCTGAAATCAAAATCAAAACAATGAAGAAATAAAATCCCATGGGCAATCACTGCACCAGATGAAGAGGACTGAAGAGAACAGGATAAATGGAGCTGTATTGTTGAAGCCCTAAATTTCACTCAGAATCCAAGATCATAATAATAATAGTAATAATGCCTCTAGATTGATCATTAATTTGTTTATTGAAAAACATAAGTTACGCATAAGCTTGTATCAATGTATCTTTTGATTATTGATCAGAATAAAATAGAAACAGATTCACTCAGTTATCAAGATATACTTGTCAGAATGTCTCGCATGGAGTTTTCAAGAACTTCAATGGTGATGACATGTGAGTAGTTTCAAGACCAATCAATCTCTCGGGCAAAGCTTAAAGTAGTTTAAGTTTCAGCGCCTGTCTTCGAGATCACTCAATAGAATATACTCTTGTTCATAGGATAGTCAAAATTACATAATTTAATGTAGTAAAATTATGATACTAATATTTTGAAATTATATTTTTAGATCAGTATATCAGTGCGTTAAATTTGAAGCCATGAATGAATATGATTCAGCAACTGTTTTCAATTTATTTTTCAGTGAGTCTTAATCTAATAATAAAATTTCACTAATTTTTTAAACATAATTGCTAGAATAAATGCTAGAAAAGTCTTCTACGATAAGAGTCTTTATCCTCTTCTCAGACTTGCCGATAATAGTATATACTCACTGGAGTTCCAACTCAGGACCTCCAGGGACCCGAATCAGTGGCCAATGAGTTTCATCCTCTACTAGTTCACGGTACCTAGCGACACCACCAGTCAATGTTACAGGCGAGTAACTGTCCTGTTGCCTAATTTAGTTTCGAGTGCTGATGAGTGCCCACTGTGAAGAGTCTCAGACTAGAACGAAACAGCCGCCTAGTACTACCTTGTTTTTCAATGGTCTTGTAACTGATGTCAGCCACTGATCAATCCAGCAACCAATTTAACCTTTGCATTCAGACACTTAATAATACTCTTTATGCCAAATATTTTCATCAATAATTCAACAGGATAATGTCTACTTATAAAATATCTTGTAAAAATAAGCTAATTAGCAATTACAACTAAATCATAAACATGGTTACAGGATTTCATCATGAGCTGACACAAGTTAGAGAACCAATAGAAAACCTGGGAGTACTGGACAGCTGTTTCCTCCGTCCTAGTTTGGGACTCTTCATCAGTACACACCCACCGGGATTCGAACCTAGGAACTTGTGGTTACAAGGCGAGCTCGTATACCATTAAGCCACCGGGACCCGATCCAATGGCCCATGAATTCTAACTTCTGCCAATTCACGACATAGACAAATTTCCATTGGAAGACTACGGTAGTAGTAGTAGTAGTAGTAGTAATAATAATAATAATAATTTAAATAGTAATAGCACTGTGCAGTAATTACATTCTTCTTCCTTAGGGTAAGGTAGAGCTTAATAAAACTGTACTTTCGATCAATTCTCAGTAGATACTAGATGAATACTTATTTTCTCTCACGTATAATTTCATTATTGAAAGGTGTATGCCTGTTAAACAAGCTTATTTGTTGAGAGAAACTTTATTAATTAAATCGTAATAGGCAAAACATCTAAAAGACTAGAGAATATAATGATTGACTTCTAGTTGCATTGAAGTTATGGTGGGGAAAAACACATTTAATAGAAAGATGAAGGAGTATTAATTGGTGAAACTGTGATATCAGATAACAAACAGTACAATACTGACTACCTAAAGCAAAATATAACATATAAAGTCAAAAAACAACGCTAATACTACCTTTTGTTGGGTGGAATCTTAGAAGTGGCATTAAATAAGCATAAAAGTCGTTTGGAAGACCAATGCCCGGGGATTTTTTTAGAGGACCAGTTGGTCTCAGGTACACCTTGTTTCGTCTTGCATCTAAAAATAAGGTTCCTGCGTTGAAACTTCGCCTGAAATGAATAGAAATTATCACTGACACAATCTTTGTGGTGCTGTGCCAGTAAATTTTGAGATTTTGTTTTTAAGAGGTATCTGTAATAACTGTGAAAGGCTGTATAAAGTTTCTTTTTGGAAATGCTATTTTTACTTCAGGCATTGTAAACGGAATAATCATGATTCAGTGGAGCTGTTACTCTAATGATCGCTTTACTCAGAATCTGCATTGCTGGTACTCAAACCTACTTGTTACCTTACTTTATGGTGTAGATTTGGTAGATTTTAAACCATTAAAAATAACGTAAAGAACGTTATTGCGTGCCATCAGCTTATAAAATCTTTGCTTTTTGAATTTAGTAAAACTCATTGTTTGTTATTCTTTCTGCTTTCTGACTCAAATTAACCACCCAGACTGAATTTTTAATGTTCAACAAGTTTTGTTTAACTGAAAAACAGTTTACGATGTTCTGCCAAGTCGGCTTTGATTATAGGCAATAACTTCATGCGTAAACGTTCTAACAGTGGGATATTATGAATGTGTAATTGCTCCAAGCACTACATGAAAAAACAGAGCATAACATCCGCTAATGAAGAAAAAACAATCACACTAAGAAAAACTAGTGGTCACAAAGTTTGAATAATAAGAAGTCATGTTTCTGATAAAATCAGTAGTTGTCTGGCATTATTACTTTATCACTTTCGGTAATATTTAAACATAAATTTGTGAAGTACCTGAGTTGCATTCACTTCATTCTTTTGTGAAACTGTACTATTTTACACTAGTGTAAGATAAATACATTTAACCATATTGTGTTTTAAATAAGGTTGCATACATTATTTATATTCCGTCGGAGGCACAGAGGTTGAATGCTCGCCGACCATACATGTGGTCCGGGGTTCGATCTCCCGCCACGGACGCACTCCCTTACCTCACTAAGCCAGTAATAAGATTGGTAAAGAGGGAAGGTTGGATATGAGGCTAGTAACCCCATCCTATAAAAATAATCACCACTGCTACATAAACTCCAAGCCTCTATCTTGAAGCCGCCCTATGTTCCACTGGGAACGTAAAGGAAAAAAAATATACTTGTATTGAATTCAATCTTGATTTTCGCTTTGATTGACTGGAATGAAATCCACGGCCTCTGTTGACATGCTGGCTCCTTCTGCTTATGCTTCGACGATGTCTGACCATTAACTTGAAGTGATTTGCAAGGTGATGACTAGCAGTGAAATCTAGGATGTACATTCAGTCCAATTTGGGACTCGTCATCCGGATGTAACTACATTGATCAGTGAATGATGGTATTCCCGTGAGGTTTGACTTTAGGTCAACAGAAGCCGAACATTTCGGTTCATCAGTAAAATGAAAAATCAGAATTGAATTAAAAGCAAATCATAACTGACATTCGGTGCACGAGATTTGGTTCTCGTGGCCAAAGTGATCTAGTATTGAATGCTTTGGTATTTGAAAGAATGTGGACTGGATTTAACTTTAAGCAGGAACACCATCGTTCACTGGGAAATCCAGGTACGTCCAGTTGATGAGTTCCAAGTTGAGTGGAAAGCGCATCCTGGATCCCACTGCTGCTCATCAGCCACTTCAATTTACACAGATATTTTGTATGCAGGTTGTTGGGCATCACTTTGTCTTATCATGACGAAATTACCCTTCTGGCCAGTGAACGTAAGTTACAGAGAAGGTTTATTGGTCAAGTGACGTTTGGAATGTTGTTGTAACCTTGACGGTTCTATAATGAAGCTTTAATTCTCTTCCTAGACAGTACCTTCAAAGCCAGCTTAGAGATAAAATGGGCTTTTTGGTTCTCACGTGAATGTAATAATGGTTCTCTTGGTGACCTTGAACATAAGACGTCTCTGGAGGTTTTCCAATCCTTATGTTGACATTTACTGATAGTGAACAGATTTTGATTTCATATTTTATCTTATGGCCAGGCCTGGTATGCATGTAATTCTGCAATTGAAATATAGATTGATATAGATCAGATCTATAAACAATTAAAGAAAGTCATTATTTTAATTTCAGATGACTCTTAAATGATGTTCGTTGATACAAAAGATTATCTTAGAAAAAGCCAGTAGGATCAATGCTTATAGATGTGGTGAAAAATGTTTAGATATGAGATTAGTAACAGGGGTAAAAAGTGTGGACGTGTTTTGCACTAGGCATAATGAACAAAATTTTAGTTTTCAACACCAGTGTCGAATCCGTGACATCCATTTGGTCGAAAGAATTGGCGCGTCATGAAAAGCATTTTCAACAGGATCCTACAAACTTTCATCAACAAGTGCTATCGTTCCATACTGAATACAAGATGACCAGAAATAATGAGCCACCAGGAACTCTGATAATGAACCATAAAAGAACCAAGGAGGTGGATTGAATACAAGCTGAGGAGACTGCTGAATGAAATCGCACGTCAGGTCCTCAAATTGAACCTGAGTGAGAAACTACGAGTCGGGTGTTCGAGGGTGACATGGAGGAAATATTATGAGAAGGAATTGTAGGGGACTGCAGAGAACAGCATGCTAATTTCTGAACAATAATGATGCTAATGTTAATTTAAATCAGAGTAACCATCCAGGCTGGTCTGCGAATATAAACAATTCAAATAAATATTCATCTATACATTCATGGAATGTAGAAGGTTCATCTTATAGTGCGCAAGCACAGCTTTTAATATGTTACAGTGGTATCTGCTTCACAGTAAACTTAGACCGAATCTACCATAAACACAAATCAAAAATGAGCCAAGTTAGACTTTGAGCACCACTAACTAACAATGGAGTGCGACCTGCACCAATGACCTTGAAACGCTCACTGAGTTAGTTAATGAAACCTGGCACATAATACTGTCATCATCAATAAAATATGCTCATCGAAGTGTTATGCTATTAAATGGGTTATCTGAAAAGTTTCACCTTAGGTTTGAGAAAGATTGAGTTACGCTTATAAGCCAAGGACAAGTTAAGGTTAGGTTAACCTAACACAGGCGACATCAGGTTTGGTCTGGGTTAGATAACAATTAGTTTAGGGATATGTTACGGTTAGGTTAGAATACCCAAATAGTTGCATGCATAGAATGTTGATAAATTTCTCCCTTCACATAAGAATTTAACTCGTGGACTGTCGTGGGGTATAATTCCACTGTGAGTCTCAGGATGTTAGACAGTAGTATTTACTGATGATGTTTCGAGCACAATCTATTGCTCAGTATATATTACTGTGCAACACTGTGAAACTCTGTCAAAATAAATTATACCCACAATGGAATTATACTCCAACCTAAAACTGAGAGCTATTTTTATCACATGTGAGAAGAAAGTATCTTCTGTAACACTTTTATACAGTTTTTATGCATTTTTTTCGTAAATATATGTATTCCAAACACAAAAATGTCTCCTCCACGTGGTTTGTACGTTCGAGGTCATTCGCTAATTGGTAGTTAGTGGTGCTTAAAGTTTAATTTTGCCCCAAAATGAAATTTCATTAGGAAGACACTCATTCAGAAATTGAAGGAGATAAAAGGCGACACAGCATGAATATTTCTTGTACCTAAGTTAGCTTCAAAGGATAAAACAGTGGTACTCAAATTTTACTAAAAGGAATAACAGTCCACTAGATTGTTATGTTCTCATTTTTTCTCACACTTAACAAATTTGTTTCTCATCTGATAGCAATTTCACTCCTATCAAATTTCAAAGCCTTATTTCAATTCTATCAGTGATCATTATGCAATTGTTTCCGATTATTAGAAACCACTTCTCAGTATGTGTACCACCTATATTATTATTATTATATTATTGGTTCTTCAAGTTCGGGTTGGAGCATAAGCTGCTAGCAGCAGATTACTTGCATCACACCCTCTCTTACTCAATAGCAGGCTTCGATACGTTCTGAAAAATATAAATACGACTGTATAACCTTTCAAGTTGGTTCTGTAAGGAAATTTGAACAAAGCAATAACTAGAGTTTTAGCAGAATAAAGTGGTACCATCTTTTATTTCGTTGCCTTCTCGTCATCTACTTATAGGCCAAAGACATTATTAAATACATCTACAAAAAAATGTTAACATACTTGCACAGAGTTCATTTTAAACAAAAATCAATCGATCAGTATATGCATACAGTAATAATATATATGTAATATTAAACACTATTCCGAACAGTAATAATCATACCCAATGGAAACTTTTCAGCACTACGCATTCAGATGAAAAAGAGATGAAAATAACCAGTTACCAGGGCAAAGAAAGACTGATAACTGTTTCTTTCTGAACGCACAAATCAGGTTTCAGGTGCTTGATAGAAATGGCCTCAGCACACTTGAGGAGGATTGAGCACTTTCGCCTATTAATAATTTTGAACGACTTTTCGACATCCACCTCATGACCCGTATCGAGGAGATGCCTGGCGATGACCCTGTTTAAAGCATTTATTCCCTTTAGATGTAAGCTTTTTGGTACATGTTCAGAAAATCGTGGATATGCCCTTCATTCTGTCCTTCCAATGTAACTGCTCTTGCAGATACATGTAAATTTGTATATATGTATTTGTAATTTGTTTAAAATGAACTCTGTGCAATTATGTTAAAACTATTTTTATAGATATATTTAATAATGTCTTTGGTCTATAAGCAGATGAGGAGAAGGCAACGAAATAAAAGATGGTACCGCTTTATTCTGCTAAAGCTGTAGTTATTGCTTTGTTCAAATTCATTACGGGGAATAAATGTATGACATTTCTGTAAGGAAAGTTTTCTTTGTTTAAGTGTCTTTTATTTTCTACATGACACAATGGTTATTTTCGATCTTTCGAAGCAAAGCAAGACCCATGGGACAATGGAAGAACTGAATATGTTTCTTGAAGTTGTGAAGTGCTCATTTTACTTCAAATAGGCATTAACTGTTAATTTTTCTGTTGACTAGGCAAATTTGTATCTTCAACACCTGACGCAGACTTGTGTCATCCAGAAGCATTTATTTCAAAACCAACAAAATGGGTTGCAGGTACGTCTACAAATAACACAGCGTTTTATTATTTGACTTGAACAATTTTAGAAGAGAAATTTTAACAGAGGATGCTTTCAGTCGCTATTAAAATCTTTATTTCATTAACCTGAGGGACTTAATTCCTACAGATGTAAAGAAGTGGCCTATTTAAGATATTTCAATCATTTAACGTTTAACGAAGCTTCATGGTTTTATAATTAGTCACGAATATCTGACTAGTGAGTCGGTGGCATAGCGGTTAGGACGCTCGCCGACCATGCACATGGTCCGGAGTTCGATCCCCGGCTACCGACGCATTCCTTTACCTCGCTAACCCAGTAATGAAGCTGGTAAAGAGGAAAGGTTGGGCATGAGGCTAGCAACCCCATCCTGTAAAAATAAACACTGCCACAGAAACTTCAAGCCACTATCGTGAAGCCCTATGTTCCATTGGGGAACGTGAAGGAAAAAATTCTAATTAGTGATGATCAGAAAAATGATATACTACCCCACCAAATAAAGTAAATAAACAAAGACTGGGGAAAAGTTTGTTATCAGTTCAACATTTCAATTATCATGAATTTATTCATGCCGATACTAATGCTTGTGGTAGTAAATAACCATTTATGTGCAATATTATATGTGATGATAGTATAAGTTCAGAAATAATAAATTATACCTGAAAAGTGGAGGGAAAGTTCTAAATCAATTTTCACACTATTACACAAACAGGTTGAGCTTTTCCAATGAACATGTCGTCTCTTTGCAGCTTATCAAACAAAATAAATCCTTTGTGAAGATAAGTCTTTGTAAGGTATTTGCATTCTGGAGGAGAATACAGATGTGGTTTTCTTTGGCATTTATCAGCTTCTGAATATATATGACACCTGTAAATTGTGCATATCAGCTAGGGATTTGACTTGCCTTGACAAATCCTGCCTCGATGGGATACTGTCATTCTATTAAGAGTTTACTGGAATAATTACCTCTCAGACAGTATCGATTTCTTGATTATTTTTAGGAATCACAATTGCTGAGCAGTCAAAAGGATGAGGTCCACTGTTGATAAAACTATTTCGAAGCCACTGATATGTGGTGACTAACTGCAGAGAAATTAATAAAATCAAGTTGATGTTATAACTCTTTAATTTAAAGCATTTTGTTGTGTACCATTTTTGCCCGATTTTAATATTTGTCCAATCTTTTCATTTCAGTTCTGCCATTAAATTCTGGGCCAGGCACAAAAACGTGTCCAATCTCAGGTGGATTTCAAATTAGTCAGACAGTGGATTTAATGACTCACAAAGTTTGTTTTTTTGTTTTTTCTTGCTTGAAATTCGCATTGAGAATTACTTAAAAGGATTCTATTAGTTATGGAATTATGTCAGACCAAATTAAGACTTCTCAGAAGATCGCCATTTAAGTCTTACAGAATATTCAATGTAGTGTTTACTTGTAGATTTCTTAGTGAAAGTTCAAGTTTTCGTCACAGGCTCATCACTATCATCATTCCTTTACGTTCCCAGTGGAACATAGCGCCTCAAGTTTGAGGCTTGAAGTTTCGGTAGCAGTGGTGTTTATTTTTGCGTAACCAGGTTGCTAGCCTTATGCCCAACCTTACCTCTTTACCAGTCTTATTACTGGTTTAGCGTGGTAAAAGAGTGAGTCAGTGCCCGGGCATCGAACCCCGAACCACATGAGGCGTGGTTGGCGAGCGCTGTACCACTGTGCCATGGACGCCTTTCCTCCGGCGCTAGTTATTCCCAACTCTGATTCATACAACATCACCACATGCTTTCTGTTCGTAAACTGAAGATCTAGAGTAAAAATCATTGCCACAACAGTTCATCAGTATACGCGACGTTTTGAGGACCAGTTACACTCGGCCAAAAATATATATATTTGATTTCCTCATCGGTTCTTGTTTTATTTTCTGAATCTGGTTATGATAGGATGATGCAAAGAATAGACGGATTTTATAAGTTAGATCATTATAAAGGATGAATGCAGCTGTTAGGTTGCATAATTAGATCTGAGGTTCCCACAGTGACTCATTTTTATCTGACATACAAATGGATTGTCTTGGATCGTGTCCCAGTGGTTTAATGGTCTACGAGCTCGCTAGCCTTGTAACCATAAGTCCTTCGGCTCGAGACCCAGTGAGTGTGTACTGATGAAAAGCTACAGACTAGGGTGTAACAGCTGTCCAGTACTCCCTGGTTTCCCAAGGGTCCTTTCACCGATGTCAGCTCATGATGAAATCCTTTAACCAGATTTAGTAACTGGCATGGATTATGTTCAATTCGGTCAAAGTTTTAACTAACCATTTCACGTTGTTTAAGCACTGAGGGAAAAGTAGACTTTGAGGAATCAGAGGACAGCTATGAGAGAAAAGCATTCGAAAACCCCTGTTCGACAGAATCATTCACATTGATCCAGTAACCTAGTGAATGATTCTTTATTCTTTGGGACAATGCGTGCGTTCAAGTCACTAACTGAGAATGCAAATACGTCCATTTGACAAGTCCCAAAAAGAGGAAACGTGCATCCTGGATTCCACCGTTATATACCGCCAACGAAGTGGAACTAAACAACAGTGAACTTTTACTCACTACGGTGATAGGAAAAGTCAGTCACCACACAAACATACAAACAATCGAAGTGCAATCCCACGAAGCTAAGATTTAGTACTGGTCTGTCCTTACAGACATTCCATTATTGTTTTTATAAATACATTAGATTACATTAATCAGGTAATATCCGTCATATGAGACGAAAACTATGTAGCTCCACTGATGATATCGGCTTAGATAATAGTAATCCGACCCACTAAATAAAAGAACTGCTCAGATTTGGTTTTAGCATTAATTTCAAACTCACTAACACACCGTACAGAAAAAATGGTGGGATTGATAACAGGCTCACAATTGGGTCGTGTGATTTCAGACCGCTTCATGACAAGTCTGGAAGACTAAGTGCTTCAATTGAGTTCGCATCAACACACTAGTTAAACAAATTATACATCTATCATATGTGATAGAAATGATGAATTGAAGAACTCCATTAGCTGTCAGTATTCAAACATTTTGACATCACCATCCCACGTCAGCTCAAATTTCTCAACTCTTTGGTGTTCTGTTGAAAAATCCGCCAAAAGGAGGCTAGTGTGTGGTAGTTAATATACCGCTTTTAGAAGTTGGATCCCTTTACGTAAAAATAAGAGTCAGGTCCACTCCTTCTCCCCAAGAACTAAAAATATCTGTACCGGTTAGTTATCCGATGATGAGTCCCAGTGACCTCTACAGGTGCCCATTACGAAATACACTCCTTGGAAGGTTCCTTATTTTAAAAAAACATCAAAGTAGGGTAACATTCCATAACGCTGTATACATTACCAAAGATGTTATTTATGTGGCTAAGATCCGAAAAAACCACTTATCACTCCCGCAGCTTATGCAGCTCCATCAGTCATTTTTTAAAATTACCTACAATTTAGTTCGATTAATGAAAGAATCGGTTACAGGATTTCATCATGAGTTGACATTGGTTAGAGAACCATTGGAAAACCTGCTGGGAGTACTGGACAACTAGCTGTTTCGTCCTAGTTTGGGACTCTTCAGCAGTACGCACCCACCGCCAGGGTTCGAACCCAGGACCTTCTGGTTACAAGGCGAGCTCGTAGACCATTAAGCCATTGGGACCCGAACCAATGGCCCATGAATTCCAACTTCTGTCCAGTACTCTCAGGTTTTACAATGGTTCTCTAACCAATGTCAGCTCATGATGAAATCCTGTAACCAAACAACCAATACTTGAATAATGCAGGAACTGTTACATTCCTAAACTCATACATAGCAGAGGTGATTGTATTTCATTAATTAAACCCCAAAGTACCTGTACCGGTAATTTTTATCATCCTCTCATTCTACTATGCTTTCTTATTGAATTCTGTTTTTCATAAACAGTTCACCAATATCTTTTAACATGTTCCTTTTGCGCATTTTGTTGTGTTTTTCCACCCACTTCATATTTGTTAAGTGGACATTCAACCAACTTGTCTCTCATCTGATAAGAGTGTTCATCATGTCAGTATTCAAACGTCTAATTCTGTTGCTTAATTGATTGCTGCATAATAAATCGACATCTAGAAACTACTTCTGCGTCACTTTACCGATTACGTCACTTTTGTAAGATGGAGTAAATATAGAAACGAGTTTCCAGCTTCCAGAAACAACTTCGTCGATAAGGAAACTTTTTATTTTCTAAATTATCTCTAAATTTCTTCAGGAATCATTGGGTATTTCCTTGGCTTTTTTAATCTCGGCGAGTTTTTGAAATAACCGATTCCAACTTTACCTACTACCTCCTCGTTAGGGCTTCTTTTTTGTGTTATATTACAACAACTGAATATTAAGCTTTCAATAAAAGCGTCACGATATGTTAAACGGTAGATAGAATGCTATTTCACCTATCATACGGTTAACTGAAATATATTCATCATGAGCTGACATTAGCTAGAGAAGCACTGGAAAACCTGGGAGTACTGGACAGCTGTTCCGTCCTAGTTTGGGACTCTTCATCAGTACTCACCCACCGGGGTTCGAACCCAGGACCTTCTGGTTACAAGGCGAGCTCGTAGACCATTAAGCCACTGGAACCCAATTCAATGCCCATGAATTCTGACTTCTGCCAGTTCACGACATAGCGCGACTACTGGCCAATGTCTTCGACGAGTATCTGTCCTCACACCCGACCTGCTGCACCCTAGTGGTCACGACTTCTCACTAGAGCCATTGGGCCATTGGATCGGGTCCCAGTGGCTGAGCGGTATATGAGCTAGCTCGCCTTGTAACCAGAAGGTCCTGGATTCGAACCCCGGTGGGTGGGTACTGATGAAGAGTCCCAAACTAGGACGAAACAGCTAGTTGTCCAGTACTCCCAGCAGGTTTTTCAATGGTTCTCTAACCAATGTCAACTCATGATGAAATCCTGTAAGCAATCAAATCTCTACAAACCAACACTTGAATATGAAATATATTCACTATTACTTTCGTCAAACTGATTTCATACCAACTTCTGGGATCAGATGAGCAGAAATAATAATGACCTACACAATGGAAATATATTTCATTTGCTCTATTGTTGAAAATGCTATCAAATGATGTCATGATGTTAACATATTTCTTCCTTTCTCTTAAAATATGTCTGTAACTCATAGAGATGAAGATTTTGATCCGCATTCAATCACCTCTTGTTGGATATGCATTATCATATATGCTTCCACGCCTTATCCTTGTGTTTGCACACCACCTTTATTATCACAGCAACGGCTGTTGCTAATACTAATGTGGTGGAAGCTGTCTGCGAGACAAATTTGTAGACAACAATTTCCTTCAATGTTTACGTCCCGAATTAGAGTCACGAGAAAAAAATAGTAACAGAGCTTAACCTTGAGGAGCGCAACGACCAATCACAGCAGACTTAGCGTGTGCAGATAAATGGATAACCTTGTAAGCAACAGTCACAAGCAGTGCGGAATAACCTTCAGCGGGAAAACAACGAATCAGAAGACGTTGCTTCTCTGCTAACGATCACGAATGTACATAAAAATATGTAAATATCTTTTGAGTGATCAAACTAAATTCCAATCGCTTGGTGTTTCCAAAGACCTCAATGTAAGAGCTGAGAAACAAATGACTGACTCCCTCAAAAAACTGAACCAAATAGGAGTATTATCATCAACCACGTATGAGTCCATGAAACCTACGGGTACCAATACTCCACGTCTTTACGGTCTACCAAAAGTGCACAAACCGGGTCTTCCTCTTCGCCCTGTTTTAGATATGTATAACTCTCCATTTCACGGAACAGCGAAGTGGTTAGTTAAGATCCTGGGTCCTTTGCACAGAGAAATTGTGCAACATAGAATTAGTGATGTTTTCGACTTTATTTCTAAAATATCCGAGACTAATGTGAGGTGTAAACGCATGTTATCCATGGATGTATCATCACTATTCACTAACGTACCGCTTTTGGAAACAGTGGATTATATTTGTCAAGAAATCACCGATAGGCAATTAGACTTAGGAATCCCCTTGTGTAGCCTCAAAGAATTACTTCTTAAATGCACAATGAATGTTCACTTCGTCTTCAATAATTCATACTATCGACAAGTAGATGGAATAGCTATGGGTTCACCATTAGGCCCAATATTAGCTGACTTCTTTCTCGCAAAACTTGAAAACGGGAAATTGAAGGATACCATCAAGGAGTTGGATATGTATTACCGATATGTCGATGATACATTTATCTTAGCTGATGAGAAGGTTAACATAGACGAATTGTTACTTAAATTCAACAACATCCACCCTTCGCTTACCTTTACTTGTGAAGAGGAGCAGGAGAATAAACTACATTTCCTGGATGTCTTGCTAAGTAGGAGAGAAGATGGGTCACTTGGGAGAAGTGTGTACAGAAAAAGCACATTCACAGGGCAGTACACACACTTCCTTAGTTACGTGCCCATTAAATATAAAAGGAATCTTGTAAAATGTCTCGCGAGCAGAGCAAGGAAGATATGTACGGAGGACCTCTTACAAAAGGAATTTGAATATATTCACGATTCCTTGACGGAGATGGGTTATCCGAGTAGTTTCATAAAGAAACATATGAAACCATCAGAGAAGAAACCTGTGACTCTGACTGCACATAAGAAACCTCTATTTATTAAGTTACAATTTAATGGGGACTTATCTAGTGAGATTCTATTCCAAAGACTTTCAAGGAGCATACGTAGAACATTTTACGCAGCACACCTATGTTTGTCATTCTCTAGCCGACGAATGATTGGGACGCAAACGAAGGATAAGCTTGATAGTTTTGCCACATCTATGTGTATTTATCAATTCAACTGCACCTGCGGTGACAGTTATATTGGGCGTACTACTAGACAGCTTAGCCAACGTGTTAGTGAACATCTCCCATCGTGGTTTGGCAAAGGACAGACAAAAACAATCCGAAGCTCAATTCTGTCACATCTAATTGATAGTGGTCATGTAGTCGATAAAACGAAAGCCTTCAAAGTAATTCATCGTATCCCTCCGAATCTTTCTAATAGACTTCGTATTCGTCTACTGCACACAGCTGAGGCGATAGGCATTCGAACTATTAAACCTAAACTATGCATTCAAAAGAAGTTCGTGCAGCCATTATCCCTCCCGTGGCCTAATAAGACATAACCAACGAAAGACTTCTACACCACCCTTTATTTATATTTCCAACCCCTTTCTTATCATCCCTTAATCTTATCTTCATTATAAACGTGTTTCATTTCCTTCCCCTACAATCTAACATTACGTAATCGGTTCATTTGTTTTTACTAGCCTTTATCGACTACTTCCACCTGAACAATTGTTTGTTTAATCATACTGTTTTTCATTATTCGTGTTATCACAGATTGCCTCATTTTTTCATCCTTATTATTGATAAGACCATTATTATTATTATTACTATTATTAATATTATCATTACCACTATTATGACTAACTGCACAATTTATATTCACCATCGTATTATCCTATAGACAAAACACCATGATTGGTTTATATTTGAATTTTTATTTGTAAACTTATATATATTAGAGTTAAGCCTGATGAGATCTAATTGAAAACAATATTGTTCGCTTAAATGTGTTGTTCTAAATATCTCTTTATTTTCTCTATAAACGATCTGATTTTCCTGTCATTACACTGATGATTCTATTACTACTGGTACCACTACTCCTATTATTTCTGTTATCTTTTGCTTTCGGTGCTTGTTTCCTTCAGCTGCAAGTCTCTTTAATGTTTCGTTCTGTTTCCATTAATTTCAGAAGCTAAATAATTTCTACCATATGGCTACTCTCAACTGTGACATTTGACTCTTACACAGCTAAGTAACTTGCATTTTATTCTGGGTGTTACCTTAGAGACTACGATCACGTTACTTGAGGTATCAATACATTTAGGTTAAGGTTTTAAAATTTCTAGAATATTGTAATCAAAGTAACCTGGTAACACAAATATTTGTGCCAGGTTTCCTAATCTTCAACAGTGTCACGGTAACCATAATTTAAGTTATATTGGACTAGTAACACCTTGAAGAAGCCTGATAAGTGTTTGTTACTAATAAGAACTGACAAGTAGTATTGTAACGGAAGGAGATAAGAGATTGGGTAACAGACCTTTATTAGAGAAAATCACATTATATTTATATAATCTTAGCCACATTCAAGTTTGACTAGATCAGGAGAGAACAGACTGTTCTGGTTGGTTGGTGATTGACCCAGGGTTAAACAAGTTATCCAATGAGGTTATTTCATGTCCACAACATAAACTAAATCTAAATTTGAGGAACAGATACTTCGACCTCTTCAATCATTGATTTAAAATGCTAATTTCAATTTCGACAGCTTCCTTTCAATCTACATCACAGGATCTTGAATAGCAAAGAGAGACAGAATAAGCTGTGATGAGGAGAAATGAAAGATCCTTGTAAAAAAAACTTAGAAAGCGTGAAAGGATGACGAAAGAAGAAGTGGAATATGAAAAATTTGTGCAAATGGAAATTTCACTGTTAGGCTCCTGCATTTTGTCAAAGCGAAGATCGGGAAATCAAGTCTGTATGGAGATCAACAGCACTCAGCATGAAAAATAAGACCCGGATTCTCAACTCCAATGTGAAGTCATAGCTACATAATAGATCAGAGACTTGCCGCGTCACGAAGAGCACTTCGAACAAACTACAGACCTTCGTCAACAGCTGTCTTCACTCAATACCACTCAAGATCGGATGAATGGCCAGAAAAGATCAGCAACAGGGAGGGATCTCTGGCAATGAGCGAACCAGACAGTGAGCCAATTGTGCAACAAAAATGTGGGAAGAAATGGAGGTGGACTGGCCATACTCTGAGAAAACAAACCATCAAGAAACATCACACACTAAGCCATTGCTCGAGTGGAACCCGAATGGGAAGTGGCGAGTTGGTCGTCAGTGCGAGGATGACATAGAGTAGGTGATGTGAAGAGAAGATGAAAGCATGTAAGCAAACATGGAGCCAGGTGGAAACGTTAGTGGAGAACGGAACGCAATGGGGACATGCGACTGAAGGCTTTTAATCCTCTAGCGCCTGAAGGAAACATTAATAATAATACACAATTAAAAGGTTTCCATATTTAGCTAATTACGAACGGTGTTGAAATTTGATTACTTAGTCATTATTATTCTTGTGTTTATTTATGTATAAAGGTGCTTTGTGAATCGGAAATTTACGGAGTTATGGAAAGTGAATGCATATCTGGCGAAGGCATCACATTGAAATTTTCACAGTCCGATTGTAATCCATTTTTTAAAAGTGATAGTAAGTACATGGTAGTTTATTGTAATTTTAACCTTTTACTTATATGCGGTGTATACATTTAAATAATATAACGCCACAACACTCTCTTAAGAATGCTGAATACGGTAAATGTAATATAGTACATGATATATAAAAAGTAAATAAGCATGACAGGTGTCAACATCTTAAGTTTTCATAGTCAAAAGATTTGGCTCTCATAAATGATTTCGGCAAAAACAACCAGCTAAGTCCTCCTTGTAAACACCTTGGGGAATGATCACATTTCGATTTATATATTTGTCTTTCGTTTTGTTTATGGCTAGTGTAATGAAGTGTTTCATCTTGCCTTTCAGAAGTGTCGAGACAACACATTTCATTATAGTCTAGCTAATTTTTTTTATTGATCCTGCTTAAACAGTGTTGACACACCCACTCCTTCTGTTAACACTTCGACAATGCTTCTAAACTGACAGGATATCATTTGGTTCATGGTGGATGGCATCGTTGAAACCTTCATGCAAGGGATAGACATGTAAACAAATATGGTGCATTTAAAATATCATAAAATCATTCAATGGGAAATTAGCAAGTAACAACTGATACCTGTCGCACAAAAATTGATTACCATGACCCAGTGACCTAGTGTTTGATGTTTTGGAGTTTGGAATGACATATTTTTGGTTGAAGTCTCTGTGAACTACATTGACTCGGCATACAGATACATCCAACTCATGAGCCCCAGAAAGGATGAAACTAAATGACTGAGTTTCAGCTGAGAACTTTGCACAGAAGTGTAGGGTCTCAATTTACCACACTCATGCTCCACACATGCAGTGTCGATGGCATGCTCACCAACCATGCATGTGGTCCGGAGTTTGATTCCCGACTGACCTACTCCTTTCCTTCGCTAAGCCAGTAATAAGACTGGTAAAGACAGAAGGTTAGGCATTAGGCTAGCAACCCCATCCCATAAAAATAAACACCACTGCTGCCGAAACTTCAAGCCTCTATCTTAAAGCCCTATATTCCACTAGGAACGTAAAGGAATGGGAAAAAATGTACCACACAAAGTTAAGGCAAATAGAGATTCAAAACAACTAAAACGAGTAGAAATATTTGGGAGAAGGAAGGGTAACATAAAAACACATGGATATTTAATGCATATGAGGTTTCATGAAGATTGGATGTGTGTGTGTGTGTCATTGATAACGGTTTTGACCCATATCACCAACAGTATGTAGCCACTGATTCTTAGCATCCTAAGGCAGTATATACCTCCCTACATAGCTCAAACCAACTATCAAAGACTTAATAGACTGATGTCAGATTTTAGTTTAACCACCTCTAACTCTTTTTCTGACTAATCCTAAGTCAGCTAATATTTTTCGCAGAAGAAAGCGGTAGTTCGGCATTCACAAAGCTTATCCTAGACATCTCAATTTATGCACCATCACAATCTAATCGAGTGACTTTTCCTGTTTGCCTAACGTCTTGTTTAACCTCAGTATTGCCCACCACGTAATAAGGGAGACAGAACTCATTCATCTGTGGTCACAGACAACAGCCTTTTCATATCTTCCATTTTCAATGGCCATTACTTACAATCCCTAGGAGGATAGAGTGAACTTTTTCTGTACAGTACACACATTTCTTGATGGATAACCGGATATTACGTCCATGCCAAATATGATGGAGGTTGACAAATGCAAAACAGGCCTTTTACATCCATGCTGGGATTTTGCTAGCAGTCAGTCCATTAAGGGTGAAGAAGGATGGAATTCGTGTCCTGGAAGCAACTGCTAATCATCATTATAATCAACCAAAAATTGTTTTAATGTTTTATATACGTTTCATGGTTAGACATTTTTCTAATCGATCAGAGCCATGTTTGTTTTCAGATTTAGTGAATAGCTTTTAATCCCAAAATAATAAAGATACAGTTTAGAAAAAATGGCGCCCATGACTTAGTTATGACAAGTTTATGATGTTATGTACAAAACGTTAAATTCGATCTTAAAATCTGCTTCATAAAACAAAAGTATAAGTTCAATTTGAACTAACCATTGCTTTATAAATCTTTAGTATTATAAGTAGTATTTCACTATGCATTGAAATCTGATAATACTATCCATTAAAATACTCTCAACTCTTCAACTTCTAATTGAATTAATTATTATGATTGTAGAATTTTCCAACTATGTCATAAATCAAAGTGAAGTCAATTAGTTTTTTTCATCTCCCAACGTATACTTCACATCTTACCATAGAAAGTAATTTAATTACTGAAATGTTTACGTAAAAGGAGGGGGAGATATTTATATATATATACAGAGATGATAATCTTACCGTACGTAATTCAATTATACATCTGTTATACCTGATTACAAAAAAATAAATAAATAAAAAAGAAAACTATTATTATTATTACTCCCTGTGATGATAAATAGTGACTGTTCTAAATTTAATTCTACCTTTTATTGCCTTGGAGATACCGTGATGAGAGAGAGGATTTTTATAATCTATGGTGGGAAATAATTATTTTATTGCACACAAAAAGATAAAAACCCCCACACACACACAAAAGTCTAGAATAATGTGATATCCACAATGGTTGATTGAGTGATGTAAGCATAGCTTCATAATGCTTCATATAATTTATTTAGTATTACTAACATTAATTATTAGTAATAGTATTAGTATTAGTAGTAGTAGGAGTAGTGAAAATACAAAAATCATAAATTAAAAATCTGTGCCTTCCATCCACACTAATGATTATGTGAACTGAGATAAGCAGAAGTGAGATTAGTTTAGATTATTACTCTTACCTGAGCTGTATTCCCTGTTACCATTGTAATTCTTTACCTTGTCATGCTTAAATAAACAATTTTGTCAACAATACAACTGGAAAGAAGGATAATTATCAATTAGGCCTTTTTTTAAAATATTTATTATTAGTTCATCAGTTAAAAAAAAAGAACTAAGAGTGGGAAACACTGAGGTTACCTTATAAATACGTTTGACTTGAAGATGTTAACAACCAATTATCTTAGATGACCGATTCTTATGAATGAAGATATCAGTCTTGAGATCAGTCAGATTCCTGCAAACCAGTAAATTGAGGATTAATCTAATGCATATATTAATGACTAACCGTGTGATGAAGTTGTATGAAGTTCTGATGAGAAGCTGTGGTCAATAAGGCTGGTGATTGCGCTATAGATTGCAAATTAGCAGAAGTATGAATTCATATTATTATTATTTTATTATTGTTCCCTTGGGTTACTAGTGGAACATAGGGCTTCAACTGCACGTCTCCACTTGCTTCTGTCTTCTCCTGTACTTTTCACCTGCATCCATCCATGTTAGTCCATACTGTTTCAACTCCTCTTCACACGATCTCCTCCATATCCCCCTTGCAATGACGTCCCACTCGCCGCTTCCCTTTCGACCTAGTTCCACTTGAGCAATGGCCTGATGCGCGCGCGATGTCACCCAGCGACCTCCTCAGCGAGTTTCCAATTCATCTCCACTTTCTCCTGCATATTTGTTGGTTGGCGATTGCTTCTTGCTTTGTTTGTTTCCAGCCATAGTTCTTGTTGGTGATTCTTTCTGGCCCGCCCATCTGATCTTCAGTATAGAGCCAGCGAAGACAATTGTTGGTTGATAAAGGTTGCAACAGGCTGTTGGAAATATTCTTTGTGACCCGCCCACCAAGTTTCTGATCCGTATAGAATAACTGACTGACTTGACGTTGTTTGTATTGAAAATCCAACCGAATTTTGTTGTTGATGCTGGTTGGGTGACGAACATTTCCAGATTGGTTGTTTCAGGTTGATGAATGTGTTTCTCGCTCGATTTGACATCCTCGTCCATCCCGACTTCCTGTAGTTGAGACAATGCTGCCTAGATAAGTAAGTGAATGAAGTAACCTCTTTCAAATCCCTCCCGTTGATGGTGATTGGCGCTGGATGTTGCTGCTGTTGTTGTTGTTGTTGTTGGTTGGTTATTTTCATAACCTCCGTCTTGTCAATGTTCACCTGGAGTCCTGTCTTTGCTGCTCCTTCGACGTACATTGTACGAACATTCCACATCCCCATCCTTATTTTTGCTTTCATCGAAAGAAGGCACATCGGCTGACTGGCTTCCCGAAGGCTTTTACCAGCCTGCATCATTTCACTTCCCGATTCCAGCGAAAAATACGGTTATTGTTTATATTTTTAGTATTTTTAATATGTTTATGCGTTGAAGTTTCTGTAAAAATTTGATTAAGTTTTAGGGGTGGTGTTGCCAGCACCACGCCCCAAACCTTCCACTTTATCCGAGCTTGGGACCGGCTAGAAAACTAGCAAGCCAGTAATCTAGGCGAGGTGTGAATTCATAACCCGATGGAATTCGTCCCAAATGGCTGGATGATTTGCGAGCTCGTCTTGTAATCTGGTTGTCCTAGGTTCAATCCCTAGTGTGGTAATGGGTGATTACTTTTGGACATGAAACAGCTAAGTAGTAATCCCTGGTTTTCAGTAATTTTCTAAATGAGGTCACTTCGTTATCAATCAAACTCTGCAAGCCAACATTTGAAAAATATTTTATATTAGGTTTGTTTCCTTGTATACATTTTCAGACATAAATATTTTGCCGGTGGTAACTAATCTAGACTAGTAGATAACACGCAATATTACAAAAATGTTACGGATTCTGTGACCTGTTTACTTAGTAAGAGATTTCCTAGAGCCATTCTCATGACTCAAAGACATAAGCAATTTTTTAAAATATTATCAAATGGGGTATTCAGGAGACAAATATTTGGGAATGGATCACTTCGTGGTTCCCAACAGTCATGCATGGTTGAAAATAATTAAAAATGTTTGGTAACTAATTAATTATATAATAAAAGGACACGTCAATAACAAGTTGTATTTTAAAAAAGTCAAGCAATCTCGGCTAGAAAGGACTTGAAATCCATCATTTTCCGCGTAAATAATTTTGAATACGTGTGATTAATTCTAAATACTCCGGTCACA